TGGTATTATTAATCAGTGAACGATTGAAAATTATCTCAAAAAATACCAGTTAAAAACTTTGCTTTGACGGCTCTAGGCTTAATGAACTTTTAATTTTATAAAAAATGTTCGATGTCATATTTTATACAAGTATATAGGGTATATGTATTCCAAAGTTATATTATTACAAAAAACATTACTGTTTTAACTAGCTTACGGTAGAAACATGATCCAAGTTTATTGTAACAATGGACTGTCTATTAAGGATTAAGTAGATCATGGATCAGCTTCGTTTAAAAAAACCACATTTCGACCAATAATATGATAGGCAAATAGATGAAAATGGTATAAAGACATGGCAGAACCCCTATGAATCTGATTAGAGTAGTTCTTTGTTTTCTTTAACAGTGAATAGCTAATATAATCTTATAAAGATAATTCATTTGGCTCATATAAGAAATATGCTCAATACTTGTAATAAAAACAGTATGAATCGTAGCCAAACTGTTCACGTCATTTGGATCCACTTTTATAATAAAAATAAAGAGTTGTCGAAATTCCGTCGCCAGGTTCTGTAGAGGCTAGAATGGCATCTATTTAGATCTACTTGGGAAAAAATAAATCTGTTAAAAGAGTTTACCAAATTTCGCATGAAAATACTTTGAACTGCTGATACCAAAGGTCGTCCTTCGCTGCACATACTTCAAATGACCGACTAGTAAAATTTCGTTACTGCTGTACGATACCATCAGCCTTTCCAGCGTTTTTACGATGAATTATAAATTAATGTTTCATACATTATCACTATGATTAGAAAGTTAGTTTTCTTTCTTTAGGCTTCTTAATTTCAAATTAGACTTTTACTTTAGTAATAGCGTCCCCCACTCTTGCCGTTCTAGACAAAATATCGATTTATAAGAACATGCTTTGTTACTTGTCAAGCAAACAAGTTATAATTTCTACGAAAAACTTTTGACTAGGTCATATTTAAATGTTGTTTTATACCCAAATACATAGACACAAGGATATATATATATTGTACATATATCCTCCACGACTGTCTTGTCTAATGACAACACCTTGTGACTTGTGTCCATGTCCATCCAGTCGTTATCCATATTAGAGTACATGCTTGCTTTGCGTGTTGGCGCGTCAAATGGACTTGGAAACGTCGCTGACGACATCTCACCGGCACCGATTGCTTTAACGCGTTTATTTTTTCATTTTCTTTGCTGTTTGTCTGTGCGCGCCGTTAAATGACTGGTCAAGTGGACTTAAGGCATTCATATCACCGGCTTTTGCATGTCGTCTCCTTTCTTTTGACATACAAATACATATAATATAATATATTGTATACTATACGTACTATGGCATATAATTGTATGCGTTTTTGTGTTACTGATAAAGCCAAAGGGCGACCAACCCATACGCAGCCTGACAACTTGTCGGTGTCCAGTGATTCATAGGCTATTCAAAACGCGCGTCACACCCGTTTTTGTTGTTGAGCATAAGCGCATATGTATGCGTGCAGATGTGTATATATATTTGTATGCGTCTATGTATTAGTGCGCAATTAAAGCGCCTGCTCACCGCATGTATTTATACACTATTTTACAGTTATGTTGATTTTGCTTTTGTTAATCGACAGTAATCACTCGACATGTGGCTCTTCGATTGCCGATAACATTCATTGTAATCAACCAACCATGTGCGATGACCAACTAGCAGTATATGTGCATATGTATGCATTCTACACTCATTTCCTCAAGCCATCATGCGCTCAGACACTCAGTCATTCCCATAAATATGTATGTATGTATAGTATGTCGGTGCAGCGATCCATCAATTCCGTGGCATCTATCAACGGTGTGCATGCAAGTAAATGCTTGCCCTTTTTGTCGCTTCGTGCGCGTAAAATTTCCTTATCAGCACTTTTCATAATTTTTCGCTTCATTCGTAATTATTTTATTGTTTCCCGCACCGCGGCTCCTAACCTTAAGTACTGAGGGGCGGTTGTACTAGGGTGTCAGTCGTATTGAATGTCTGTTGATTTAATTGTTGTTGTTGCAATTTTTTTTTTGTGTAGTTTTTTTTTTGTTTTCTGTATTTTTTTGTTGGTTTTTATTTTTGTATTTTGTTCTTGTTGTTAATTTTATTATTTTCATTTCGATTTGTTCTTTCTTTGTGTTGTTGGTATTTTTATTGTAACCCTTTTTGTTATTGCTTTACATTTAATATTTTTACTGTTGCCAAGTTCGTTAATTATAAAATTGTTTTAGTATTTTTATTTGTTGAATTAATTAGTACACTTGTAAGTCTATTAGTTTATTTCACATGCGGCAGCTGAAGCCCGCATGCTAATCGTATATACATGTGTATATACATACTTGTATACATGTAGGTATATTTCATATACGAAGATACTCGATTGTAAAATTGTAAAGCCCCAACTGGCAGCTAGACTAGTATGAGCATTGGACTTTTTTTCTAAATATGCTTACATAGGTTTTAAATCTAAATTTAATTTCAATACGAATTCCTTCAGTATTTCGAAATTTCAACCCAATTAAGAGAACTTTGATGGGCCTTATATACTGATTCCTAGTGTTTTTAAAAATGTTCCAAGATATGCAAGGCATTTTATATAGAGAAGTTTGTTTTACTTTCAGGCATATTGAAATACCAACGCTTTCTATTGTAAAATAAAATCAATGCTATTAATATTATATAGTGAGCCTTGAAGTGGACACTGAGCATTAGCAAATCTTACCAAATTAATAAGACATGTGCGCACGACAATCAGTTCACATAACTAAAACGAACACGGATATTTGTCCAGGCAAGGAATGCTAATTCGCCAGCATTCTCTAAAATTATTTCAAAAAGAAGAAGAAGAGAAGAAGAGAAGAAGAAATACAATACCAAAGCTTATGCCATCAGAAATTTAAAGTAGTGACCGACTTTTTTAAACAAGATTCCAAAAAAAAAAGCGAAGAGTATCGGGATCCATAATTTACAGTTAACCACTTATTGAATTTCTTATTCATTTCATAGAATCCTTGATTTCATACAAATAATCATGAGCTGATTCATGACACGACTTAATCCAAAGATGATATAAATATTAAGATTGCGGATATGTACTTGAGATATACAGAGACTAGGTAGACCCTATATCTCTGAAAATTTGTACAATACAAATAGTTATAAGGTAATCAATTATTTTAAGTTATAACATAAGGAGTGAATAACCCACAGCGTTCTATTTTATTTCATATACCATACATATTTGTTGTGCCTGAAAACTTATCTCGCGTTTTTGCGTGCCCAATTACAGAGTATAGTATCAAAAATATGTACATATTGCTTATAAATTGCCAAGTACTATTCACGTTTAAAAAAAAAAATCCCGAAATTTCGGTACCCTCAAAATTTATCGGGATTGAAAACTTTTATGAAATGAATGTTTAGGTATGAAATTTCGGGTTTCACCAAATTTTTCGGGACTAGGTCAGCAAATACATAAAAAATTTTATATATGTATATGTATACAATGCACTTATGAAATTTCTGAATTTATTAACTTTTTCGGGATTGGAAATTAATTATTATTTATTTTCATACTAATTACCAAATAAATGTGTCATATGTTATTAGGGATTTCACAAATTTGACAACTTATATTTAATTGCCGTTTATTTTCCTACTAGGTCATCAAATAAATCTGTGCATATGAAAATGCGGTATTGCGCAAATTTTTCGAAAATGAAACCATAAATACATAACAGCGGTCACCAAATAAGTGTGTAGATACGAAATGTCGGGATTCATCAAATTTTACGACATTGACAACTTATATAAAATGGTCGTTTTATATCCTGCTAGGTCACCCAGTACGTATAATGTACATATGAAATTTCGGGATTGAAAGCATAATTGTCATTTATTTTTCTACTAGCTATTTAAATTTATACAATGTACATATGAAATTTCGGGATTCCCAAAGTTTTCGGGATTGACATTTTATATTAAATTGCAATTTATTTTCTTACTAGGTCACCCAGTATAATATATAATGTATGTACATATGAAATTTCGGTATTCGCCAATGTTTTCGGGATTGACAATTTATATTAAATTTCAATTTATTTTCTTACTAGGCCACCCAGTACATATAATGTATGTACATATGAAATTTCGGGATTCGCCAAAGTTTTCGGGATTGACAATTTATATTAAATTGCAATTTGTTTTCTTACTAGGTCACTAAATAAGTGTGTACACATGCCTGACTGTTGAAATCTACAGTGTTTTCTTATCTCCTCCTATAATTTTACAAAAGCAACGATAATAAATTTGTTGTATACACATATGACTATTATTACAAATATGTATGTATGTATGTATATTTCTAAGCATATGTGTATATTACAAACATTGCTATATATTATATTATACATATGTGTATATGTCTGTAATCACTTACATTTGTTTATATTTTCTTTGCATTTTGCGGAAATTTATTTTCAAGCCGCAAACTAATATTAAAACCTCATATTCATAAACTCTTTCGCATTAGATGACATTAGCAAATGACAATACGCGTCTACACGATTAGGCCATTTATTTGCTTTTCTGGCATTTATTTACTCATAATCTAGATAATACAAGTTTTAAGATTATTTGAGCAGTTTATCTAATTTCATATTTCCAAACATTGTATGTTTAATAAGTTTAAAAGATAGTTCTTTTGTTGTTATTTCGTTAAAATGTGTGAGAATGCAATTTCGTATTTTCTATGTATATATAAATATTTAATTAGCATTCAACTTAAATTTTTTCATTGTTACTTCATGTTCCAACTATCACTTTTAGTATTTTTCCACCGTCATTATTTTATACTTCCTTTTTTCAATACGTAAATTTGCTTACTTTTCGCAAGTATATTGACGTATTGACACTATATGTCTAATATATATCCATACTCCCCCCCAATAATTTTTATTTACTCAAACACTTACCCCAACTTATGAGTGTACGTCCAAAAAACGTGCCCTCCTTGCTATTGTAGATTAGTTCCATGCAGGTCTGCTTCGCCTTCGGCTGAGGGAATTGGAATTCCGTTATGGCATTACCATTCTTCTTTGTCGACATTTTTTGTACGCGTTTATTTAACTAACCACACGGACTGCGACGAATTGGTTAATACAAGCAAATTTCGTTAGTTGTTGTTGTTACCTATTTTCACGATGTGAAAGGATATGTCAAAATTTGTTTGTAACGAAGGTATTTACATGCACGTTTTTGATGAAAACAAAAGAAAAAGAAAAAATAAAGAGAGTACTATGAGATATTTGTCATTTTTGTTTTTGTTGTATATTTTTGTAATTACTAATTAGCATTTTTTTTGGGCAATAGACGCTTAAAGACTGGTGTATTAAAAAATGTAAGTCACAGTCGACATGTGAATTGAAAAACGATGGATTTAAGAAAAATAAATTGAATAAAATAGCAATAAATTAAATAATTAAAATAATACAACAAGAACCCTAGCTTTATTTCATAAATAATTAATTTTTCGTATATTTATAAAAACACGTTTTTGCAAAATTTTTGTTGAAATTTTATGGAAATTTTTTTTAATTTTTGTGTTTTAAAAATACCAATGGATTTAAAAATTATTGTTTTCGACGCAAAAGAGAACTTTTATAGTTAATTCTGCTGTCTGTTTTTATAGAAAAAAATAAAGTTAAAAAAATGTATGCAAAATATTTAATTTTATTGACACATAATTCTTTAATTTCGTAGATTATTTATTTTCAATCTTAAAAGAATTATGTTATCCAAAAATTTTTAAGAAAAAATGTCTCGAAAAAAATTAAAAAAAGATTAATATATACTTTTTTTAATAAAGATATATGTAATAATTTTTTTAATTAATAATTAACTTTTATTAAACATATTAATTTAAATTTTTTTTTATATAATACATTAAAAAAAAATTATATATAATTTTAAAATTTTAAGAAAACTTTTTAATATGGTTAAAAAACTAGTTTTTCAAAATATTCGCATATTAATTTTCTTCATGAATTTTAAAAAATCTTAAAATTTATATGTAAATTTAAAAAAAAAACTGTTTTAATAATAATTAAAAAAGTATTAATGTTTTTAATTGATAATTATTTTTTATATGTATTAATTTTTTACTTGTATCTTAAATAATCTTGAAAAGTACTTTAACTCTTAAGATCCTAGGAAAAAGTTGCTGAATACAAATAAAAGAGTATTTAATTTTTTAAACTAATAATTAAATTTTGGACATGTAGTTTTAATTAAATTTAATCAAAAGACATGTTGTTTAAAAATTCTCTGAAAAAATTACTGAACAGAAATTTAAAATATCTTTATATATTTTAATTAATTATTAATATTAATTATATTTGTTTAATGCAGAATTTTTTGTTAATTCTCTTTTTTACTTTTTGCTATTATTATTAAGAATAATTTATTTTTTAAATTCGATCAAAATTAATACTCTCAAAGGCATAATATTTGTTTTATTTAGTTGCAAAAAATTTCACTTTTTATTCTTTTTGCATACATTTTTTTACAATATATGCCTTTCCAACAATAATTTATTAAATTTTAAAATAAACACACATATTTTGTTTTTCTTAAATATTACTTTTTCTAAATCGCTAGAAAATTCTAATTATGGCATTCAAAAGCATAACAAGTATTTTTTTTTTTAACTTTTTTATATTTGTATTAATTGTTTTTTTTTTGTGCAAAAAGTTTTCGTTTTTTATTTTTTTCCGTAAATTTATTTTCTATATATTTTGCTTTCACCAATAATTCATTAACCTGATATTTACTTTATACTTCAAAAATAAACCCAATATATTATTTTTGGTAAACATTACTTTTTCCAAATCCCTAGAAAATTTTTGCCTTCAAAAGCATAATAAATATTTTTTTTATATTTTTATTAATTGTTTTTTGCAAAAAAATTTTAATTTTTTTTCCGTAAATTTCGTTCTAATTTATTTTCTTTCCACCAATAATTCATTAAATTTGAATACAAACACAAATGTTTTAGTTTTCCTCAATAATTTTGTATATGAAAGTATTTTTCTCAGTTCAGCTATTTTTGCACTCTTCACAAGTCTGTTTTCATTCTTACTTCCTCAACTGTTTTTATGTAAATATTCAAGCACAATAATATTAAAACTCGGAATGAACAATAAAACCACAAGCACATAAGAACACAAAAAATGCACACAAACAAAACAAAATACAAAAATAATAAAGAAAAAAACTTAAAAATAAATATCGGCACTTGCACACTTCTTTTGCGCTTTTACCAAGTGGCAACTAAAGCAACATTATATTCTCGCCACTTTTTCTTTAAGAAAAAGCATGCATATATTTTTATATAACCATTTTTGTAATTTCGAAAACTTATTTTTAGCTTATTTACTTTTCTATTTCACGGTTATTGCAGCGAAATATAAAATCAAATTTGTATTCAAAGAGTGAAAATACAAATATGATTTCGTTGTTCTGGTTGGTGCTCAAATATTTTAGTTGCTTGTGAATATTTTATTTCTATTTAGTTTAGTTTATATCGTCTGCGAGCTCGCGAGTTTTCGAGCTACCGCGCACACGTCTAACACGAACCGACAAAGATCACTGACTGAACCGACTGGTCGCGCGTATTATGCCCGCAAGTCCGTACAGCACAGTCGAAACGTATTGAATTGTTGAACTCAACGATACTCAATGCGACTCCAAGCGTCTCGCTGGCACTCTGCTGTCCGCCTTTGTGAAATGCTGCTTTTAATGTAAGCGCGCCGATGTCTAAATACTTCGTATTGGGTTTTGGGATTAAGGCGGCGCGAAGACGTTGCCTACACAGCTGTATTAAATATATTCTGAACTAAATTGTTTCAATGAGCAGCGATAACTGACTGCTAGCTAACTCTCGGCATGCACTTACCTACATACACATAGGTGTGTTGATGACAATGCTGATGGTTGGCAGTCTGTGCGTCGTGTAAGAGACCTGTTGTCCATCGCAGACATAGACAATAGCACAACAGACCGGAGACTATATACTCTATTGATGCGTTGCGTCGCAGCTAATGATGTTTATTGGGAGCACAAGAGCCCACATTATGCGGTTCTATGTAATCGTATCTGTAGCTCTTAGACACATACCTTGGTGGAGGTGGCGATGCCGACATTGGCGGCGAAAGCAACAGCTGTTGATACATTCACAACAAAACTCGTATTTTTTGTTAAACTCAACAACTCACCAATGCGCTGTTGGTGAATTCTCTGCAGTTGCTGCGTTATCGTCAGCGCTGCCGCTACGCAGATTACTGCAACCTCTGCTCAATGGCTTCTTGACGCTTTGTGGGAGTACAGTGGGATTATTTTTACTTAAAGAGTTTATTTTAGTTTTGAGTTTCCAGTTAAAATTTTTCTTTCGGAAAAGATATTAATAAGTAGATAATTTACTAGCAGATTCTGATTCGAACCCTCTGAGACCTACGTTTTTATTTCATCTCTAATGACTGACTGGAAACTGGCCAATAAGCTCACGCCACGTTGTGGTTTTTCCTCTATTGCCAGCTTTCGTTAGGCTGAGATTGAAATATAATATAGGAATATCTTCGGCGAACCTAGTGATTGATATTACCCACCTTAATAAATTAGTGGTATCACAAAGGATCAATGTTCACAGCTGCCAAGTGAGACCCATCGTTACATTTGGCGAGAGGATAAACCATACGATCTAAACTAAACTAATAAAAACATTAATCTTCCCGTTAAAAGTATTTGCTTTGTAATTAATTTATCTTTTTATACCTTAAGTCATAATACTATAAATTCTGGGTCCTTAACGTAAAAAGTAAAAAAATGTCCTAAACCTTGGATTTTTAGAAAACGCAAACATATCTCCACGAAAATTATCTTACTATTTCTTTTAATTAACTACTTTTAAATAAACTTTCATTTATTTTCGCACACAGTATTTAATTCTCACTTCATTTCTCTGCTCTAGCAACAATAGTCCGTGGACGTCTGCTTCGCAACGCAGTCGGCATCGGTCGTCGATGCCTCGCACCACCCGCTGAGCGCTGCGCAATCAGTTGGGTCGCAGCACAATGTGTGAGCGTATCTCCCCTGCTCCATTTTTCTACGCATACATGGCGGGTATAGTGTAGGTCCAATGCACAGTCAGACACTGTGCGTATGGAAGTTAAAAGCAAACAGGTTGTTGGATAAAAGGAGGTAAGTCGAAAATATGTTATTTAAAGTATATGTTAAAATTCAAATTTTATTCTAAATATTACTTGCATATTTATTAGTAATGTTGTGATTATTCTGTAAATTTCACAGTTGAATAATTTTGAAATATTTCAACCGTTTTACTTTTAAACGTCAATGCTTAATATGCTCAATCTTTCCTTTTCAATGGCAAATTTAAACAACAGTTTATGAATAATCAGATCAGACATACATGTGTATATATAAATTTTGATTTTCCGCATTCTCAGCTTATTTGCAACCCTCAAGCTTTATGTGCGAAATCTGTTCGCATTAAGGCACGTCTCGTCTGCAGTCTTTACACAGTTTTCATTTCATTGGATAGTTAGAGGCGAAGGGGTAAAGCTATATAAAATTAATTTTATAATTCCTAATATTTGTAGAGGTTTACCTGAATTATGTGTTAATACAATGACATGCTAGAGGTGCAAAATCTTTTTTCAAATGTAGTGAGTTTTATCTAATTTCATGCGGATGCATCCTGAGTCTGTCTAGAATCAAGACAAGATGTTCTACCAATTATATCAAATTGTAGTACCAATTTTTAGGAAATTCTTGTTTCGAAATCATTGCCTGTTTTACACTTTACCGAAAGTAGAGCCTAACCATGGTGAGCCAAAAGATTATTCTACCGCAGTGGTTTGTCTTAACAATCTTATCAACTTCTTTTTAGATATTTATGATATCCAACTTGGACAACATCTGAAATGTGTTTCCATTGATATTACACTCTAATCGAACACTGAATGAATGAAGTACTCCTCTCAAACTCGACTTGACTTCACTAATGTCTCGGATTGGCGTCAACTTACCAACCGAAGGTACGACTTGTACATTATAATATACTGTAACCGTTTAGAAGGTTATATTCTCAAGACTTTAGGCTCCAAGTTTCTCTTTGTACATAATCCGATTTAACAAAAGAATATTGGTTAAGTTATCGGGTAAACCATTCACTGAAATGTTATTCTCAAGGGCGGATTAGTCGATCGGTCAATAGACGATTACTTTATGGATGGAAACTATTTAGTTTAGAAATTGGAAAAAGTACATATTAAGGTCCCTCATTTACATTTTCATGAGCTTAAAAGTGGTCATAATTTTCTCAATTTTTTATTTAATTAATAAATAATTTTTAGTCCAACATAATATTCCTACTTCGTCTTTCATTAAGACTTATCTGTATATAATTCTCCAATTCGTCTGTGCAAATTTGTACTGAAGCGAAATTTTTCCGTAATTACTCTGATTGCTCACCATACAAACTTTTAATTTTATTTGCTTTCACTATTTAAAATGGAATGTACTTAATTTATAGAATTAACACTTCCGATAAGCTGAGAATGTGCCTTGCGCTACAATCTTCAACTATAAACGGCCGGCAGCGACGTAGCAGATAATACCGAGTTAGACCACAAGTAGCCAGCTAATGCTAGTTATGAACGGCTCTGAACTTGGACGTCATCACAAAGTCGCTGTCGCCGCCTACAATCAGTCATTCGAATTTGGTGTTATCTCATGAACAACTACTATAAATTGGAGTAATAAGCCAGAGACTTCACTGATTATATATGCTGAATGCCCTGTAGTGTGATTATGACGATTAAGTGAATTACATTTGTAGTATTTACATATTTCCAGCAAATATATAAACATTTGGAGTTCACTTACTTGTAGACTAGGCGGCATTTTTTATGAGCATTTTTATTTGGATTTAATTCTTAAGATTTATTAAATTACACACATGATCACTTGAATGAGTCTGAAGTCAATTGAAGATAATCATAAAGTGCACGAAAGCATATGTTGATATGATCGGTGTCTTTGCATAGCTTAAGTGCGGGGCTGGCACACTGTAGAGCTAGGTTCCAAACTTAATGGAATTATACATATGCATAATTGACGTAAAAAAATATTTTCTCTAAAAATTTCCATATGTTGTTAATTTGAAAATTACGAAACCGCCGGTTTATGGGTTGCCAATGAAAAATGCGTAAAAGTTTGCAGGAAATCTCGGCCCAATTTCTGTCATGGTAAAAATTATGTTTTAATGTTATTATTATTTCTATATATTTATGAAAGTACTCGTAAGTACGTGTGGTGAGGAATAATGACTCAGAATCAAAAAATCTCAAATATTTCTTGTTGAAATATTTTCTTTATGACGACAGACATATTTACTTTTTCTGGCTAATTGAGCTTCTTGACTCTCTTTTTTCAATATGGAAGTGTAGCGATTAGACCTGAAGTGCTTATTGTTATTTTTAAAATCAAATTAATTTGTGTAAATTACAACACAAAGAATAATTTCTTTAGAATTCTGGCCGATAGTAAATAGTCCCTAATTGTAATGAAAATATCACTCAACTACATTGAAAGACTCCCATAATTGATATGATACTAGTAAAAAAATCCACTTTTTTTTCCAAAAGCTGGCTTCAGTAATCTGTGTCTAGCATTGTATATGTGAGAACGTGTTTCCTAGATTTGTACAACATTTTTTTTGGAAGATGTTCGTGTAAAGTTTGTCATCTTCGTTGTCAATAATTGTGTGTTTTTGTTAAATTTGTCTGTCGATTTATATCATGGGGAAAAAATTTAACAACGAGTTTGCTTGAAGCTCTGCGTTTCCAATAAAATCACGGTTATGGAATCGTTGAAAATGTTACAGAAGTGTTTTGTGGAGTCTACTTTATCACAAACACAAATATTTGAGGGGCACAAAACATTCAGTGAAGTTCGTGAAGTTATCGAAACCTAGCCTCATGCGAGCCCGCCATCCACCTCTATTAATGACGATAACTTAAAAAAAGTCAAAGAAACAGTGCTGGCATTAGAGAGATAACAGAGGATCGCAAGATCGCTTATGGATCGACTCAACACATTTGGCTTAATGTTTTGGATATAAAGAGTGTCAGTGCTATACACGTATCAAAAGACCATTATTTTTTACTAAAACTGCGGACTCTTCATTACTGGTGACGAGACGTAGGATTATGTATAAGACCTCAAAACTGTCGAACAATCTAGCGAATACCGCTCCTATAATGTGCCAAAACTGAAAAAACTAAAATTCGCTGAAGGCACTGAAGGCTCTCCCAGCCGAGGATTATCAAAACTATATGGAAAATTAATATAAGCGTTGGCATATTTGCATTGATCCAGGAGCCTATTTGAAAGCCGATAATAATGATTTGTATTAAAGTACATTAAAATATGTTTTTTTTGTCAATACGAATCAAATTTGATCGTACGGTATTAGAAAATAAACAATTTCGATGTTTAAAATTAACAAAGTTGTCTTTTACCATAAAATTTGGCATTAGAAAAAGGCAAATTTTTCGTATTTGCTAATGTGATAAGTTCAAAATAAAGCATTCAATCAAACATTTTGAAAATTGCCAATAATTATACATACATTTCGTTCAACTAATTTCTGCTGCAATACATAATCAATAAATATTCATTAATTTGGTTGACTGGGTTGTCTAGTATTATTGCATTTAAATCAAAATCTGTTCGAACAACATTAATTCTGCTCAGGTAGATTTATTTATGTATTGCTTATTATTTTGTTTTTGTAATTCACCTGTTCTACCCGTTTCTCAAGCAGCTAATTAAAAGGGATTACCCTTTAAGAAACCCACACAAATTACACACACCAGTTGCAGCTGGTTTAAGGTTCAACTCCAAATACTCTTCAGCTGCATATGCAACAGCTCTAACCAACGGCTACCTGTATACATATACATACATACAAATATAATCCAAATACAATAGCGCGAAGAAAATGCTTGCACTCAAAGGAATGCTTGCACTAAATCTCAGTCCATCGACCAGCTAGCGAGCTAGCCGGTTTATCACAGTTGTGTCAACCGGTTTGAACCAACATAAATCTGCATCCGTGCGGCTGCGTGTGCAGAGGTAGGCATGTACTTATACGCGGGTACTCCGCCACCGGCGCATACCGCCGCCACATCTTTTGAGTTTATACACTGAATTAACTAGTCTGCTGCGTGGATCAGCTGATTTTGCTGTTGTTGCTAGTTTGTATACAAAAGATATTATACAATAGGTATGAAAGATAAGTTGTTGTTATTGTTGATATTTTAAGCATTATTATGTTTTTCGTTTTCATTCTTGAAGGCAAACAAATTGTGTGGGGAATAATTAAACGAATTGTTTGTGATTTATATATATATATATATATATATATATTGTATGTAACTGTTGTTGTGATTTTAAAGTTTTGTCTCTTTGTGTAGTGGTATAATGTAAATATATTTTGTCGGTGTTTTTTGCTTAAAAAATGAATCACGCCAAATTAGTGGCTTTAATTTGCGTTTTTATTTTATTCCTTATGTGCAAAAAAAAATGCATTTGTTGTTGTTGTTAGTTTTGTTATTGATATCATCTAATGCGGTTGACACTCTATTTATCTGGTATTATCAGCCGTAACCTGGTAATGATTGGTTTCATGATAGCGTTTAACATTTAATTGCATTGATCTCGTTTGAGTTCTGTTCATTTTTTTACGCCTCCATTCTCGGGGAAAGTGATACTTGCAACAACAGCGCGACGATTCCGCATTCACTTACGCAGAACCTCGGCTTTTTATGGAAGTCACTGGTGTGTGTTGCAAAAAAGTTCTTTCAGACAGTCAGCAAAGCAAAGTTTAACAAAGTAGTGATTGTGGATTGTCTAGTGTGGTTAAGTGTGAAGTATTAACTACAGCTCAATATTTTTTTATAAAAACTGAATTAATTATTTTGTGAAGATATTCGTGCCACTAAAAATTCAATATTCAGAGTGAGTAAATTTTTTGTCATTATTATATTATATATTTTAACTACAATCAATATCACTCTTTTGTTCTAGAATAATTTTATTATAATAACTGTTAAATGTGATTAATTTATGTTATCATAAATTTGAAAGCGTTCGGTATGATTCTAAATTTGTAT